TTTTTGTTGTGAAAACAACCTTTTGGTGATGATGGAGTAATTGACTGATAAATTTATCAAAGTTTTTACATCTTTAACTCTGCAACTGGCTTTGCTATAAAAAGGAAGATTTTAATAAATTTTCTTCAGCATCTTCTTTTTTTTTTGGCTCTGTCAATTACTAATAGGTTTTATTGTTTTTCTTCTTTTACTTTATTTACTTTTAATGCAACATCTTTTGCACACAATGAACCGTACATCTGAGTAACTTGTGTAGATGTTTTTTCAAGGTTTGGACTTTGATAATAGTTAACAGATCAGGATTTTTTTCTAATTGTAGGCTTTGATCAGCCATATCTTTAATTGCTGATTGAGCCAACTTAAACTTGATTTTTCTAGTCTCTTGCCAAACTTTTCTATTTCAAACTGGAGACAAATTGGCTTATTTAGGTGTTTTAAAATCTTCTCAATTAATTTATTACATTTGGTTGAAAAGAGGATTTTTGGCATTTCTGTATTTGTGATGAAGATTTTTATTAACGTGGTAAAATAATTGAGAGACACCTGTAGTGTCTAGAGGAGAAATAAATAACCCATTTTTTTAAATGAAGTCATATTAAATCATCGTAACTGAATCGTGTACTATGTTTGTCAGATAAAAATACTAAAGAGGTTTCTTTATCGTTCTCAGAAAAGCTATTGTCACATTATTGACTAGTTGGCACTATTTAACACCATATTTTCTGATGTTGTAACAAGTAGATGACTTATTTTTTTTACAGCTACTTATTTTACTTTCTGAGTTGTTATTCCAACCAAGGTGTGAATGTCTGAAAATGTATAAACGTCACCTGAGAATAAAACAAATATTAATGTAATGATTGTTACACGTTCCCTGTTTTCTTTCTACATTTTTAAGAACTGTTCACTTTTACTTGCATATACCACGCTTTTCATACACCTGTTCTTACACCATCGTTTTTAGACATTTTTCATAATACTTTCAGCTTGAAGTCCCGTTGCAAGATCATATATATGATTATTTGACCGTTTCTCGAGTGCAGTTAAGCGATAATGAGTTGATACGTGATCCTGGCGTTTTATTGCTATCACAGATTTAAAATTTTTCAGAATTCAAAAGTTTCATTTTCTATTTGTATTTTACTCAACTTTATTTAATAAAAAAATATATCGCTAAAAATTTCAGGATACATTAGTGGCTTGCAGAACTTGCCTTTATTCCTAAACAACTCTACATGTTAAAAATTATTGATCCGCAAACTCAAACGCAAAGTTAGTTTTAATAAAATCTTAAATTTTTGCATTTTAAAATTTTTGCTGGTTTTTAAAACTTTAAAAATAAAATATAAACTTAATATAAAACATTGCAAAGACATCTTTAAAATCAAGACGTCATATATAACAAAAAAAGTAAAAACTGGGAACACATGTAATACCTAAAAAAAGTTATTTTAAAAAGAGCAATATTATTTTTTATGTACCGCGTTTGTGCAATTTTTGGTGCATCATCTCTTTTAAGACTAGGTTAGCAGTAACTGTTTTTATTTAAAGCAGATCAAGTAATATTAGGTCACGCTAAATTTTAAGTTCATAGGTTTGCTGGATGCTAAGAATTTTAATTTAGAAACTAAGGATTTTATTTAGACATACGAGAAATACAAATGTTTGTGTTGCGAAGCTTAGAGAAGAATTGAAAACAAATTAATACTTTCGGAACGGCCAATACAGTTGTATTGGCCGATTTGGATCAGCCATACAATTGTATTGGCCATTCCGAACCGTAGCTTTTCTTTTAAACGTTTATTTCAAAACTTGGGATAGGATTAAATGTCGAGGTCACAAATCCGTTGTGAAAGCAATTGGTGATCAAATAAAAATGATGTTAAAATAATTATTGTGAACATTGCTCCAAAACTTTAGCAATATTTGTTTTGTATGTATCTACAATTTTGCAACGATACCTTAGTATAATAGTATCAATTCCTTTGCGACACCTGCGTCTCAAAACAGTACAACACGACACAGAACAAAAAGTTAAAAGATTTTCAATAAAACAGACACGAAACAAAATAAGATTTTTTCTTGCTTTATTAAATGGTAAAAAATGGTAGTAAACGTTTTATTGCCTGTCAAAAAGAATTTCCGAGTAAATACAAGACACCAATGCTTATTGGTAAACCGTTAGGATTAAGATTAAGTTGAAAACTTAACCTCAATCCTAACGGTTTAACTTGAACATTTTTGCAAACTTAAAAATTGTATTGGTTCACGTTTGCAAGCTGAGAAATTAAATTCGACTTGATAGTTTTCTCACCGGGATCGTTTTATAAACAGCTGTACGTCATTAAAAAGAATGCAGACTTAAAGGTGAACTTCTACAAGTAGCAATTTTTAACACAACGAATGAACGAATAAAGTTTGCTTAAAGAGTGAAGTAAAATGCGTATCCCTGTCAGCTGGAAAATCTTTACCAAAATAAATATAATAAAGATATACCATGAAGTGACCTCGGCCATGATATCAGCAGCATGTTTTAAAACCCTATACAGACTCAGAATTAGCAGGGACATAAGCAATCTGATTTGTTGATTTTGAAAGTAAGACGTACGCGCGTTTCTTAAACATAAAATTAAAAAATCAAAACAAATGTCAAAAGGTTTTTTGAATTATAAATATGAAATAGAATATATAAAATAAAACACATAATAATAATACATGCAAGGCCGGCGCCAGAAGGTGTCACGTGGAGGGGGGTGGGGATTGTCTGCCATTACAATTTTTGCCGACTAAAAAAAAAAAATAAAAAAAGATCCTTTTTTTAAAACTTGCTGACTGACTTAATTTGCCGACTAACTTGTCTAAAAGGTCTGCATTTGACGACCAAATTGTCTAAAAGGGTTAAGTTTGCAGACTAAATGAACAAAAAAATAAATTGATGTGTGTGTGTGTTGGGGGGGGGGGGGGATTTGTTACAACTAATACATACATAGTGCTGGTGTATTTATATAAATTTATATACCAAAACATATATATGTTAAACTTATATGTTTGATACCGATAAATGTATACTTTTTGAAAACTGTTTTATCGGGAACAATTTTAAAAGCTGAAAAAAACTATTTAAGCTTTTTTCAGCTTTTAAAATTTTTACTCTGTTAGCGTTGTCGGTTAATTCTACTAAAACCGGCCGGCTTGATACATTATCCCTGGGTTTAAAATAATGAACTCTTTTGTTTATATTTTTATTCACGCTTATTTCACTGAATAAATCATTAACCAACTTGGAGTCGTACTCTTAACGCGTTTGAGTCTAAATCTCCTTTGAGTTCGGCAAACCAACAACAAAAACATTCTTTTCACTTTTTCCACTATTTGTGGTGACAACTGCCCTTACGACTTGACACTCTTTCTCTGATTTCCCTTATCCTCCTTTTGCAATGGGAGTCGAATTTAGTGGTTTTACGCTATTTTCATATTAATCTTCTTTTTCTAAAACTGCTATGTAAATATGAATAACTTGGAACGAATTTTTTCACGTAAAGTTCCCATTAATACTATTATTAATGTTTTTTACTTTAGAAATTTCTAGATTTCTATTAAAAAATGACGTTGCCCCTACATCTCAAAACCCGTGTTGTCGCCCTGTTTTAAGAATCAAAATTATCACATTTATTAATTAATAACTTATTTTTAATTTAAAAATATCAATTTTAATTTTATTATTAATTTAAAATTTTTTCTAATTATTAAATCATTTAATTATTAAAATCATATAATTATTAAAACCATTAATTTAAAAATTAAAATAAAAACAGCTAATATCTCTACACCAAAATAAACTTCATAAAAATTATGATATTTACATAAGTGAAAATTCTCTTGAACAAATAGATTTTGATGCCTTATAAATAATCGGAAGAGTACTAAAATAACATGAATTGTTTGCACTGATAATAACACTACTTATTTCAAAAATCTGCGTGCCTATCTTTTTTAAATCAGCAAATCAGACTACGCATTTCTGAGGGTTTTTTAAAAAAAATTAATTTCTTGGAAAACTAAGGTTTTAATGCGCGTCATTCCATTTACCCAATAAGTTATTGATTGATTTTTTGCTTAAGTATTTCGTTACTATTAAGATTCTTTTTTTTATCCATGTTGAGTAAAACAACTATATTTTAATTGGTATACTGGAGAAATGATAAGCATCAAAAACAGTATATATGAAATGTCGGTTTAAAAATGTTGGTTTACTTTACTGCGACTCACGAGTTAGTTTAATAAATAAGTGACCCTTAATGTGATCCATTCGGATCACTTAAGAACACTATCAATTTTGTCAAAAGTATTTTTGTTTTGGAATGTAGCAATTGTAAATTATTTTCCAAGTCAAAAAAGTCAAAAATAGTTAAAGGATTATATTGCTTAAAGTTAACTGCAGTATCTTTTTAAGTTACGTTTGTATTCAAGCTTGAAACGTCAAAAGATAAGAGAAACTAGTTATAAAGTTCCATATTTAAAATAAGAAAAATAATTCTTTGTACAGAAATATGAATAAAAAAAAGGGAGAAAATAAGTGTTTTGGAAACTTGCAAGTTTATAGTTACAAAATTTGTTTACATGATATACAAAAATATGCATTTTCAAATATCTACACAAGAACAATAATTGTTATACCAAGTATAACAATGGTTTCAAATCAATAAATTTACGCTTTGAATAACTTTCAAATAAAAATAAAGAAACTATGTTTATTGATTGGTATAAATTGGGTATGAACAATTGAAATGTTTGAAGGATGTCATACTGTAATAGGTATGGGTCTCACTTTAGCACATACATTAACTGAAGATTTGGGTAGTGTTTTGGGTAGATTTTTAGGCAGTGTCTACTTATAAAGAATTTTTATAACTACATTGATTTGTTTTTTATTTTTATTACTTTTCATCTATTTCTTGATTTGAAGTTGATTATTTCTTGAAGTTGCCATCTGTTTTTAGGTACAATTGAAAGCTTTTACTTGTGTATTGCAGTTGTGGTTTATTTTAATTGTTGATTCTTTACCGATAATATATAATTCCATAACAGATAATGTAAATATTGTATGTCCACTAATTCTTAATGATTCTGTTCAAAGTAAGTATTTTTTATTTTAATTTTTTTAATTCTTGGCATTTTTATTTTAAACTTTATATATCTATGTAAGAAGGTTTAAAAAGGAGTCAAGCTATTTTACTTATTAAATTTTATTATTTCACTAAATAGTTTGTCAATGATAAAGGGAGTTTTGAAAAGAGTTTTGTAACATTATTTTTTAAGGATAATTTGATTTTTTTTACTAGTAATAATATTCAGAGATGAGTATTAGATTAATAATTTTATTTATCTTTGTTCAATTGTTATATCTATATTTTATATTTATATATGTACTATTCCTAAGACTCACATATTGTGATATAATTTATACTAGATGTTGTATGTTTATTCTTTTATAAATCTGTATCAAACATATTACAAGTTTTATTATAAATTTGAAACTCATTATTTTAATTGTATTTTTAACTTGTATTTTTGTGTATTTGTTTATGTAATGCAATAATGAATGAAAAAAAAAAAACTTAATATTTTTTTAAGGTTAATTAGTGATAAAATTAAACAAATGATACATATTTACATATCAACTTAAAAATATCAATTTTTACTTTAAAAGTAGGGCCCTGTGAACCGAAAATTTGAATCGAATCACAAATATAATTTGAGATATGATTTGAAAATTTTTTAAAATTGAATCCTAACTTATTTTGTTTTTGTTGTGGGTATTTTAGATATTCTGTACTTTTGCGCTATCAAAATAACGTAACTTATCCTTATATACCTTTTTAATCAGTCATTAAAAAGGTTAACCAGGGCAAGAAGCATCAATAAAGAAATTATACATTTATTTTATTTTATTTTGAAATATTATTAAATAAAAAATGCATAAATTTAGACTTCAATATGTTGATTCGAAACATGATTCGAATCGCGAATCAAGACCTGCTTTGATTTGAGATTCGATTTGAAACAAAACTGCCAATTCGCAGGGCCCTATTTAAAAGATTGTTTTATAAATATTCTCTGAAATCATTTTCAATTTTTTTTAATAACAATAGGCTTCTCAACTGTAGTGGTTCCTTTATACTTGTGGAGCTGAATACAGATAAAAATAACCATTTTATTTAAAGTTTTTATTTTGATTATGAAAATATTTTTTTACTTCATCAAAATCTATCAATTTAAAATGTAATACATTAATTTATGTTTAATTAAAAATTTTTGTATCATGGATAGAATAACATTATTGCAACAAAGTTTAAAAAAATAGTTTTTAGCTATTTTCAAACCATTAGTAAATAAATAAATAAAACGCTTTATTGATTTAATATTACATATGTTTGCTGAAAAACAAGAGAAAGATGAAGGCTTGTAAAAAACACAATAAAAATAGAAGGCCCCTTTGTTTCCTTAAATCTTCTGAAATTTGTTATGATTTTGTTTTGTGTCATTAATTAGCTTTGCTTATTAAATTAAAACGTCTTACATTGTATTTTTTTATTATTATATTGTTGTGGATAATAATCATTAATTGGTGACAAGAGTCACAAGTTGTATTTTTAATGATGTATGTAAAGCGCACTTTGGTAACAAGACAAGATTGTTTATAAGTAAAAAAAACATTATTAAAAATAAGATGGCTTTTAAATGCATTGAATAGCAGAGTTTCAAGTTATGCTTTATAGACATTATTAATAGTTAATTTGAAGAAGATCAAAATCAAGTTTTTCAAAGAAAAGTGTTTATGATAGCTTTGCTTGAAATACAAAGGAAAAATGTATGTTATCAAGAAAATTGTGTCTATTTAGAAAAATAATGAAAATCTGGGAGTCCTGTGTTAGGTTCCTTCTCTTTTAAATTCTATTGAATCCATACCAGTAAATTCAAGTCTTTAGAGTTGGCTTTGTGATGGCTATATTTTATGTTTTACTGTTCTTTAAAATCTAAAGTCTTGCTGTACATTTAGTAATGAATGGCTTAATATTAGACATGTATATGTTGAATTTGATAAGGAAGACTATGTGTATATACAATATATATATATATATATATATATATATATATATATATATATATATATATATATATATATATATATATATATATATTATATATATATATATATATATATATATATATATATTGTTTGGTTACATGTAATAACAATGGTATAAAGTTTTTTAAAATAGTTTTTTGTGTTTAGATGGTTTTCTTCATCGCATTGTGGCATGTTCCTTTGATACTCAAAACTGCAGCTATCAAATAGATGGTTTTGTTAAAAGTATAGATTTACCATCTTCAAAATTTATAAACAGTTCGTTTTATCCTAGTAAGTAAAATTTAAATTTAACAGTGTAAATTAGTCTAAACATGTAAAAATACATGTTTTCACTATATTTTAGTCATCATCTGTTTGAAATTGTTAAATTTTATGCAATTAATAAAATATAAAATTAATTAAAAATTTTTTAATTTTTTTAATCTGAGATGTATGCTTTGAATTAATGAACAATATTTATGGATTTTCTGAAGCTCATAGATACAAGAAAGACAAGATCCCGTAGGATAAAAATTGTTGTAAATAGTTTCATTAATGTTTGTTTGTGCAGGATGTAACTCCTGTTATATTGACAACACATTTTGTCATTTTAAAACTCGAATATTTGAACATTATGGGGGGGGGGGGGGTGAGGATAAAAACACCCATTTTTTTTAACACCTTCATTCTAATGAAACATGCTTTTTGAGATTTAGTAATGAATGCTTTTCAATTTTAGATGAGGCTGTTACTAAAAGAAATCTTAAAATGGCTTCCCTATAGTTTCTATTAAAAGTGGAAGTTTTTTCTTTATTGATTGCATAAGTATAAAAAATATAGTGTTAAAAATTGTGATTTGACATTCTAAATCAATACCAGTTTTCATAAAATTTAATTTTAATTGATACTCTAGCTTTTAAATTTTTTAGGCTTTTTTTTCAATGTTTTTATCTGCTCACACTTTTTATTGCATGAATTTGATATGTATTCAATTTGATATGTATTAATTGCAATGAAAATTCAGAACATATACACATAAGCGATTCTTGCAACAAAATGAGTATGGGGGGAGGTTGAATCCTTAAAAAGTACAGATGGCTTCCTAAAAAAATAATTACTTAAATACAAAATTTTATGTCAACATTACCCATTGCAAACAGAGCTTATAAAAATTTAAAAAATATTTAAATTTTAAAACTTATCAAGTTTTAGTTTACAAAGACTATCTAGATAGGAACTGATCATGTCCCAAAACTCTTTTGATTTTTGAGCTAATAAATGTTCAATAATTTCATCATTTTTATTCAACTTGTCAAGGAGAATATAAAAGTCAGAAGTCTTTTTAAACTTAACAGAAATCCAAACAAAAAATCCTCATGGAGAGATAACTCTATACTCTTCAAGAAACCCAGTTTATAACCCTTTCACGACATAGCTAATTCAATTGAAATATTTCTATTTTATAAAATATATATATATATATATATATATATATATATATATATATATATGTTTTTTTAAATCTTTTATAGTTCAGATACAAATTTCAAATGCATAAAGCAAAAACTATTTTTACTTTTCCTTGCAGCAATCAAAACATGAAATTCTTGCATAAGTTTTACAGCTCTGTCAGCTTTATCATTAACTTCCTTTAAAATAAAAACTTTTCTTTTTATCTCTCTGTTGGTAACATCTTGGTCCCATGTAGAATTAGGTGTTTAGAAAATGTTCTAATCTATTTTTAATTGAGGAAATAAATTTGTACTCTTGACAGACACAAAATCAGATAAAAATTTTTAGGCAACAATAAGTAAGACATTATTTTTATCAGTTTAGTGAAAAAAGCATAAAAAACATTACTATGTATTCTACTTATCATACAAATAAATAGACATTTATTCTTTGAATGGAATGTATTTTTTTCTCAGAATCATACAAACTCTTTGTTAGTTATTTATAAGTTCTTACTCTTTGTAAGTTCACTACATATTATCCTTGGTTTGTTCATTTACTTCATCATCAGTTGTAATAAAATCAAGACTGCTTTGGAGATCAATTTGTTTCATATTCTTTAAACCTTTTTAAAAAGCACAAATCTTGATTAAGTGCTTTACTACATCCAAGATATAGTTTCCTACATGTGAAACTATATCTTGGATTTAGTCTGCGATGAATAAACAGACATCTTAAAGTGCTCTTTGGCACTGATTTTTAACTGGGATTGCAACAAATATATTTTTTAAATTCAAAAGCTTTAGCTATCCATTTTTCTTGATTGCATTGTTTCTGGAGATTGTTTCTAATTTTTTTTTTCTCATTTTTTTCCTCCTAACAAACTAATAAATAGCTCAATCAGTTCTCAGTAATCATCATGTGTAATAGTTTTTTTGCAGTTCTTGATAAAATGACAACAATTCTATTTTTGTATTACGATAATGTTGTGTATCATAGGATGAAAAGTTATCTGTACTTTTTTGGCATTATGATATCAGAGCTATTTGAGCCCTTGAGTGTAAAAGTGGGCTATGTCCACAATATCACATTTGTAGAAAACTGCATTTGTTTTAATAAATTGTTTTATACTTTAACTACTTTATTAGTTACAAAGGAGATATACTTTAACTACTTTATTAGTTATCAAGGAGAGTCAAATGTAATTGTATAAAGAAATGCTTTTGATTAGTTGTAATGGTGAAAAATTACTGTTCTTCTGATTTCCAAACGGCAAAACACCTAGTAACTAAATAACATTTCCTTTGCATTAAAGACTTGAATCCTCCTCCTCTTCGGAAATAAAAATTTCATATTTATTATCTTCATTTTGAGATGTAAGATTTGGAAAAAGCTGTAGTGCACTGGTGGTGTATAAAGAAGAAGTTGCTCGAGATCCTTTAATTTAGCTTCAGTGAGTTGTCTTCCTTCTGAATATAAAATAACTGGACCAGCAGCACTTATGGATAAAGAAGGACCTTTTTTTTGTCTCGAAAAGTCTGCAATCTTCCAAGTTTCTGAGTCGTTTAATGAGTACTTGAATTGCATCATCATTGGGTTTCTAGATTCTATACATACACACTGAATGTGTAACCATTTAATCTGTTGTTCATCAACAATCAAATACTATCATGGTGAATGCTCATTTGAGCATTCACCATGATAGTATTTGTAGAAAAAAGAAAGAAATGCAACCTTACAACAATGGGAGAGTTGCTTAAGCTTGGCAGATAAAGCAGGTCTAATTACATTTACAATGTGCTTTGTCTGTGAGTAAAAGGGTTATTATTCATCAATATAGGAATGCAAACATTATTGAATATTTTTTTACAGTAAATTAATGAGTTTTGTTGTCTAACAAAAATTCTGAATTTTAGGTCCAGAATTAAAATCCATAAGCCACTGTAAGCCTTAGGCTGTTACAAAAGAGAGATCAGATTAAAAATTGGCTGCTTGAGTGATTTGGATGTTTAACAAAGGGTTAATCTGTTTAACTGCCAGTAAGAGTATGGCCATTAGATTCAAGAGTCAAATAAGAGTAAGATTTCTTTGCAAATAACTTTGCTTTATTCTGGGTAGAAGTAAAAAGATCAGACCCGTGAATAAGAGATTAAATGTTGTCTTGAAAAATGTGGAGTAGAATGAGGCTTCACTTGGAAATGAAGAGAAGGAATAAAAGCTTTTAAACTTTTATTTCAGAAGGAATTATAGCTTTTGAGATGCGCTTCATGCATACATATTAGGGATGCGATCATACAATCATGTTTGCTATTTACTTTTATGCTGGCATACAATACCCTTACATAATTATATAAACTTTTGTATTTATATGGTGTGGTATTTGCCAAAAGAAAAGATGATCAGATGATGATCATGTTCATAATGACAATGATAATGATTATTATGATGATCATGTTGATAATAAAATATACCTAAAGATGTATAAATGTTTATGCAGCTCCGGTCACAAACCCGACCACTGCCTCGGCTCTGGTTATATTTTATCAAACTTTGCCCTGGTCAAATATCAACCCTGGTCTTTTACTAATCGGAAGGAAGCTATGTGCTCTTTAGCAGAAGATCTCATTTTTACTATGAGTCCATTAAAAAATGAAAATGCACCAATTTATGTTAAATTAGCCTGTATACTTACTTTTATTACTTTCAGTTTCACCGAAATAATTCAAATAATCTTCATGATTAGCCATTTCAATCAGTTGTTAGACATGACCGACTATATAACTAAACATATTGTTTCTACTTCTTAGAAGTACAGAAATTTGACAACAAATGGCAAACTTCAGGACATGATCCATTTTTTTACTGATGCTTATGTACTTGAGCTTTCAGAAAATGTACATATCTTGAAATAAATCAAAATTAGATAAAGCCCACTTTTTCACTCAAGGGCTAATTTGTGAGTTGTTTAGTTTTTGTTGTAAACCACATTTTAAAACCAAGTTGTAAACATAATGGGGGAAAGCAAAAACTAATAATACCCTGTCTAGTTTTTGTTTCTAAAGTATACAAGCCCGTTTCAATTAACCTGCATTAGACACAGTTATGTCACTGCTCAATATTTGTACTGTTTCATCTAGGTCATCCAGTTATAAAGTGCGTCTAATACATCTTTAGCTTGATCCAGGCCAGTCAAATTTGGCAGTTTAAGTACAGCCAAATGTTGCTGCTTTTCTCCAAATGAAATTAGAATTGGCAGGCGTTTTTCTTTAGAATATTTTAAGTCTAGTCCAGTTATTAACTACCCATCCCAGTGAACAGTTACTATTTCAAGTTTATTATTATGGAACACTGATTTTACAAAATCTGCTCTGTCTTATGTGTTTGGTGGATGATTTGCATATTGGAAAATTATCACAGTTAAACTCTAGTACTTCTACTTGTAGAGCCTAAAGTATATAGACTCTTATGCTTAATTGAGATAATACTAAAGTTGCTTAGAATACTGTTATAAAGGAAAATGAAATTTAAAAATCAAATTTAGTCTTAAAGAGATATTTTTGTTGATAATGACATAGCAATTATGGTGTTTTCTTTTTTTGCTTTAGTTTTAAGTGTTATCAAAAAGATGTTAATCGTTTTTATATTTTTGATTGGTTGTTAACGTTGATAAAATATTTTATTTTGTACTATAGCCTAAATTATTATTACTTTAGTAGGTTTTTCTATTCTAGTTTAATTATACAATATTATATATTATATGTAATATATATGTATATATATATATGTATATATATATATATATATATATATATATATATATATATATATATATATATATATATATACATATATATTACATATAATATATAATATTATATAATTAAACTAGAATAGAAAAACCTACTAAAGTAATAATAATTTAGGCTATAGTACAAAATAAAATATTTTATCAACGTTAACAACCAATCAAAAATATAAAAACGATTAACATCTTTTTGATAACACTTAAAACTAAAGCAAAAAAAGAAAACACCATAATTGCTATGTCATTATCAACAAAAATATCTCTTTAAGACTAAATTTGATTTTTAAATTTCATTTTCCTTTATAACAGTATTCTAAGCAACTTTAGTATTATCTCAATTAAGCATAAGAGTCTATATACTTTAGGCTCTACAAGTAGAAGTACTAGAGTTTAACTGTGATAATTTTATCACAGTTAAACTCTATATATATATATATATATATATATATATATATATATATATATATATATATATATATATATATATATATATATATATATATATATATATATATATATATATATATATATATTTATAATAATAATAATTATATATTATAAAATAATAACATTTGTATTCAATATAATACTTAATAATTTTTTTAATTGCAATTTTTTTTATTTTATTTTTTTTTAAATTAATTTTGTTTATCTTTTTTTATGAACTGTTTTTAATATTGTTATTTTTTTATAAATGATTTCAGCTTTTATTACTAAATACTATAAACTTACTATAAACTTTTTTAATGTTTACATTGTTATTTTAAATAAAATTTGGTTTTGTAATTTAGGTAATGGTATCGGCTACATTTATGGAAACACAGGATCATTTCGTTTTAAATTTTATAAAAAATATTTTTTGGATATACATAATTTTGATGTCTATTTAACAATGGCATACTATGTTGATGGAACAGCTTCTTGGAACTATTGTGAGATTTTATTGTTTTATTTAAAAATATAAAATTATTCACTACCACCATGGGTAGTGAATAATTTTATATTTTCACTACCACCTGATATATATAATTACTATATAATTATATATATCAGGCCTTGGCATGAAGAAAATTGTCCAGCGCAATGTTTTGCACCCGTAAAACTCGAATATTTTTTTAAAGAGAGCGCAATTATGTGCGCTTGTCATTAACTTATCAGGAGCAATGTTTTATTTTTGGATATAGGTGTTCCACACAATTTTATTAATTTTTAATTTGCTATACAGCGTTCTTTCTATGATATTTATTTTAAAATTATTAATTAGCAGTGCACTGCCTGACAAAATGTTTAAAATATTTTTGACTTCCTAAATATTTATTTATTATTTGATCGCATCTGATTGTGTTTTTTTTTCTCCTATTTCTTAATGATCTTGTTTTAAAGAATAAATTTATCTTTTATGTATTTTCTTTGTTATGATCTTCATCTTTAATTAAAGATGAAGACAAAAACAAAGAAAATTAATTAACTTAATCCTACAGTCAATTTTTTTTTATTATTTCATTGAATTTATTTGAAAAAAGTTCATATGCTTTCATTTTTTTTCATTGTTTTATTTGTTTAATTAAAATATAAATTCATAATGTTTTCGCATCATTAAAACATGAAAACAATGAAATAACAATTTTTTTTTGCTAAAGCATATTTAATGTTTTTTCATTGCTAACGCTAATAGAACTTTTATATTTTTTTAGCAAAGGTTTTCTTAAACTTATACTTTTCTTTTTCTCAAATAAATTTATAATTTTAATTAAGTTATAAATAATATAAGTTATAATTTTAATAACAAAAGCTTTTTAAATTTAGTTAAATTTTAGCCGAAAAACATTTCTAATGCTCTAATTAACCCAATGACATAAGTAAATATTTACAAAATGAATTTTTTTAAATTGTTTTACTTCGACTGCTAAAACGCAATTAAAATTATGTGAATAGTGATTATTTTGTTTTTAATGATAAGCAAACTATTCCATTCAAAACACAACTTTCTTAAAAATATTTTTTTCAAAATTAATTAAAATTTTTTTTATTATTATACATATGGTTTTTAGCAAATGCTTTTAAAAAATTAAATTAACAATGTTTCTCAAAATTAGTTTGTATTTGCTACACAATTTAATATTATTAATAAACTTATATAAAGAAATAAAATTTTATTTAACTTTGTTAAATGTTTGCTGTAAACAAACATTTGAAGTATGACTTTAACATTTTGCCTTGGTTAAAAATCGCAATTAAAGATATTTGAATATAGATTATTTTGTTTTTAACAATAAGCGAACTTATATATATATATATATATATATATATATATATATATATATATATATGTATATATATATATATATATATATATATATATATATATATATATATATATATATATATATATATATATATATATATATATATATTATATATATATATATATGTATACTATAATATATTATAACATAATTTTTAAATGCATATATTTATATATACTTTTTATTTTTTATATTTTCTTCACCACCCCAAGGTCAAGAAGGCCACTACAGACAAAGAAGTTTTAACCCTCTCTCGACTCTATAACTACGAAACACGAACCTTGATGAGGCCACTGTGCTAAGAAACAAGTTGGTACATGTTGGTACATTTTGGTACATGTTTGTACCAAAAAAAGTTATACTTGTTTGGTACAAACATGTACCAAACAAGTATAATTTAATTACTATTTAATTACTTACTATTAAATATTAATATATACTGATACATATATATATAAATATATATATATATATATATATATATATATATATATATATATATATATATATATATATATATATATATATATATATATTTATATATATATATGTATCAGTATATATTAATATTTAATATAAGTAAGGTTTTTTCATGTAATCCAATAAATAATCTTGTAGATTTCAAACCAATAAAACCAGTTTTAATCCCAAAAACTGATTTGTTTAGTAATGCACTTATGTTATGAATTTCATTATGTTTGTATCAAAATAAGAAAATGGTAAAAACTTATTTCCTTGTTCTAATTTATATGAAGAATCAGTGTTTTCTTAAATTCAAGTGTAGTTGAAGAACTAGTTTCCAAAATTATACTTGTTTGGTACATGTTTGATATAGCACGATGTTGAAGAAGACAAATTTTAAGATTTAGCTTAAATCTTTATAAGAAGGCTTACTTTATATGCTGTAGAGGTGTGTTGTGTTTTAATAGTAAATAAGACAAAAGAATATTGTTGGTTTAGAAATAATAATAACAATAGCATTAATTCCTCTAGTAATTCTACGCGGTAGTGGTGTAGCACTTACATCATAAATGAGAAGTTCTGATTTCGTTCCCTACCACATCCCTGGTACGTAATGAAGATGTTGATATCTAAAATTGAAAATCCCTGGTACGTAATGAAGATATTGATATCTAAAATTAAAAAACATTGATTTACAAGTTAAAAGTTGATTGCAAATGAAAAAGATTCTTTAGATTTGTTGCATTCTTAAGAAACACTTTATTTTTGAATAGTAGTTTGCAGGCCTTAAGCAAACACTAAACTCATTTTAACTATATTAAGGCTTAAGTACATATAATCATAAGTACTATACAAATTCATATTTATATAAATGTAAACATACAAAAGATACATTCACATATACAAACATAGAGGTAAGTACTCAAAGTAAACTTGACATAAAAAAGTTGCAGTGACTCAAAGTAAGGAGCAAAAATACCTCTAAACTTTTAATCCCAAGTATATTAGCAACGTTATGTTAACATAACCAAATCAAAATTTAATAACAATGTTAAAATCCATCAAAAGATTTTTATTTTTATTAAGGTTTTTAACTTATTAAATCTTTTAGTGCTTGAAAGTTATGACCTAAATTTATGTGCAGTTTTTTTGTTGAGGGGAGAGGGATTTAAAAATTAATATTGAAAACTAAGATAATATTAGATAAAAGTAAGAAAATATTAGATCTTTTGATGAATTTTTAGTTTTGAATGTTTGTTTTTTTAATAAAATTTTATTTTGTTAACTCATTGCCATAACATCATGAAAAAGGGGGTTATTTGGGATTTATTTTAAAGGTTCTTTTTTTGACAAAAACATGAGCGTACAAGTTTAGAGTTTGCTTCATGTCTGTAAGTTGTCTGTAACGAATGCTAAGGTTACATCTCTTTATTGTGCTCGACACTTCTTTACTCCGGATTCTATTCTTTATCTCTATAAATCTAAAATCTGTCCTTGTATGGAATACTGACACCATATCTTGGGCCAATCTTCCAATTATGTCATTTTTACTTTTAGACAAAGTACAAAAATGCATTGTAAACATAGGTAGACCTGATCATCTCATCATCATAATGTTGCTTCTCTTTCTCTTTTCTACAAATACTATTATGGGCACTGCTCTTAAAGATTTAGCTTCTCTTGCTCCATCAACTAAAATTCATTGGAGTTTGCATCCTTTATCATGTTTTCCTGGTTCATATAATTTTCAATATTTTAAGTCCTCTGTTAATCGTTATCTTGCTCTATAAATTTCATCTTTTCTATTCCAGTAACTTCCAACTATAGTAGTGGTTATTTGCAACCTTGTTGGAAGCAAAGATGTTGAAAAAAAAAAAAGAAAAAAAGTTAGTTGTTTCAAACAAAAAGCTACAGTTCTGGTCTTGTGATCTTAAGAAAAAACCTCTGTTCCTTAATATTATTTCAATTAACAGTAATATTAGACTCTTTGCTTATTATTTGTTTATTATTATTATTTTGTGTTTATTAATAATCTCTATTATGATGACTTCATTAAAATAAAAAGAACAGTAAAAATGAACTTTTGAATTAGTGTTTTATTTCAATTCAAGAGGGTACTCATGAATAATAATTTTATTCTGCGTTTTGAGTTTCTGGTATGCAATATGCATTATGCTATTAGTAGTTTTATTGAATATACACAAGGCTGATTTATGAAGAGGGATCATATTGATTAACGCAGCAGGAAACAAAGCAAATAGTAATAATAATCAAATAAAAATCAAAATCAAGTAAGTAAACAAATAAAAATTTACAAAAGATATTGACTATTGGTAGTTCCCA